TGTGAACTGTTTTCACATCCACCAAAAAGAAAGGAAGAAAATTGCCATACATACCACAGACGCACATATACAAGTAAATTACCCAAAATACAACCACATCAAGCACATAGGACCATTGAAAAAGTAACTTCTTGTCCTACAAACAAACCCAAATGTTCTCCTATATTTTATATCTTTTAAAGAAAGAGATGGCTTTTCCCAAAAGCCAACTCTGTGATGCATTTCTTGCTCTCCATTTTTTTCTCCGTCACACATTATTCATAGGCACCCCAACCCAACTCAAGAATAAAGCTAGTCTAAAATACCACTATTTCCTAGGATGGCAAAACTGCAACAGGTAGGACATGTAGGGTTGCCATCTCAACCTTGTGTAAGATGAAAAAAAGGTGTTTCCAGGAAGAGCAAGCTTCTTCCATCAGTGACTAATCTACCCACCAAGTAGCATGTTAAATTTTGCAGAAGCAAAGCTTGCTCAAGGGGTGTGGGGTGATGCAGCTAGAAAGCATGAGTCATTCCAGGGGGAATAGCATAGATGTACAGTCAACCCCCACCAAACTGACCTCCTGCCTAAGGGGTTTTCGCCTAACAGACTGCCTCTGGAGCAGTTTTTCCTCTTGCTTCACAGACAAAATCCACCTGACAGACTTTTGCTGGTTTAAAATTTATGGTAAAATTTTGTAATACCGTATTTACTTGAGTACCACGTGCACCTTTTTTCCCAAATTTCAGAAGAAAGAAAGGGGTGCGCATCATACGCGGGTAAAACATTTTCAAGAAGTTTTAGGAAGTTATGTTTGCATTACACTTAATTATAATGGAGCAATTTGGAACAAAAAACATTTTTGTATTGAAAAAGTTGAAAATTCATCAGATTTTTGTTCAATTCATACCTAAAGTCAAATTTTTGGTTTTTATTTTTGAAATTTTACGATTTAAGATTCACTAAAAAGGGGGTGGACGTCTTACTTGGGGATAAGATTTTTGCAAAATTTTCAATTGAAAAACCCCTGTGCGCGCCTTACTCAAGGGCGCGTTGTACTCGAGTAAATACGGTAATTGAATTTGCATAATAGACTTTTCACATAACAGACTACAGTAGTCTGTTGCACACAGTAAGTCCATTGTGCAGGGGTTGACTGTACTATGCATGAGTCTCAGATATTATGCCTATATAGCCTCATATATAAGGGGGGGGGGGGGG